CATTCCCGGCCCCTCGAAGTTCACTCAAGTTCACCGCCTGCGCCTGCGAATAGGCCTCCGCCTCACCCTCGCCGGCGGGAAGGTTTCTTCTTTTCCGAACCGGCCTTGGATTTCCTCCTGGCTCTTCAGAGAAACCCGTGGAAGGAACCTGAGCGCTGTGCCCAAGTTTTCCCAAGTCGGAGAAAGAACCAGTGAGGCCGGACGAACCGATCTCCCCAAGCCGAACCCAGCCTCCACCGAGGAAAGCGCGGGGACTGAACAGCGGAGCTGGGCGAGCGGGCCTACCTGCCTGTGCTGGTGCGCAGGCACCCAGGTAAGGGGCCCCTAGGCTGTAGGGACCTAGTAGTTCTGTCAACAGATGGAACAAAAGACCTGCAATGTTCTTTGCAAACACGACAAAATGCTGCCTACAATGCATATGCAAAGTCTATGTGTGTAGGTTTTTGCCTTGCTGTGACCAACCTGGATTCCCTCTCTCTATATATATACATTAAATATGTGAGGGAATGTGCATATGACTCAAAAATAAATACTATAATTACCACTCTAAATGCCACATGTGTCAGTGATAAGGTTATGTAGAGAGGGGGGTGGCTTTGTGTTTTTTTTAATGATATAAAAGGTTAAGAAAATGAAAGTAGAACTAAGTGTTTTCTTTAAAAAAAAGAATAAAGTTGTCAATTATTTTATTTTTTTTACTCCTTTGTGTTCTTAATAGAGATGCAAAGAAAATCATCTGGTGTAAACTGATTACCTCTATACCTAGGGTGTGCCTGTTGAAACACTGGCATCTTTAAGTGATCAAGTCCAATTTTAAAGAGAAGATGTTTGAAAACTATGCGCAGCATGCTCTTGTCTTTGGGACTTATGGGTGGAGGACCAAGTTTCGACAGAGCCACCACAATTTGATTTCAAACACTTCTACCTGACACAGTGCCTGGAAGCAGTGATCATTTTGTAGAAATGACTATTTATAGAAACAATCTTTTCATATTCACAGACTTGTCAGAAAACGGGTTGTTTAAAGCTGGCATCCAGAATCAACATCTCGGATGAAGAGTTACTGGTCTCAACAACCCAATACATTTACAGCTGACATTTGATCTGACTGCAGGATCCCTGGGGAAGAAAAGTTTTCTTTCAACTCTGTCAGTCTTCTCTCACTGTCCCTCCCCCTCTCCAAAGAATTAGATTGTGTTCCAGTCTGCACCAGGACCACTGTGTTTTGGCCCAGAACGGCCAGTCTCTCTTTGCCTTCCCAGACAAAAGGCCATCGGTAGGCACAAGCCCGAAGTTATCTTAAGAAATTGAGATCCCCCTGCGAGCCCCTGTTTCTGCTAATCTCACACTTTCCCATGAACAGGGGCTTCCTTTAAATGTCAGTGAGGTCAGTTTATCCTATAAATCAAGGGCAAACTCTCTCCAACGAGAGCCCCAGCCAGCTCCGAATGAGACAAAACTGAACTCCTAGAAGGATCTTATAGATACACAGAGAACAAGAAGATGAGAAATTGGGGCTCGGCTTTAATTACTTAAAAGATCATTGTACCACTCTGGTGGTAACCAAGAAAGGCGGGAAATAAAGAAACTACCCCCCCTTCCTATTTAATTTTTCTTCTGCACATTTTAAACTTTTGGCTGAGAGATTAAGAAGGTAGGCTCTTTATCTCTGCAATATTTAATATTTTGCATCTAGGGCATTTTGACTTTCTTTTCTACCTACCTAGAAAAAAACTTACACTGTTTTTTGTTTGTTTGCTTGCTTTGCTTTGTTTTAACAATGCAGTAAAGGAAAACAAACTTGGAGCTCTTGAGGAAGCCCGGGAGAGCAGGAGGGCTGGGGAAATCGTTCTTATCAAGCAGAAAATACATTGAGGGCACTGCAAGGTCAAGGGTGAGAAAGGAAAAGAACAGTTGGTTGAAAACGTGCAAGGACTAGACACCCACTCGCATTTCCGGGGGGAGAGGGACCCTACAAGGAAGCGGCAGGCGCGCAGAAAACGGAAGAGGACAGCAGGGAATTGCCATGCATTTTGTCTCCATCATAGACAGCGGTGGCTGGTGCCACTTCCTAAGATCATATATATCTTTTAAGGAGAGGGAGAGGGAGAGGGAGAGGGAGAGGAGAGAGAGAGAGAGAGAGAGAGAGAGAGAAGAGAAGAGGAGAGGAGAGAGAGAGAGAGAGAGAGAGAGAGAGAGAGAGAAAACACAGTCCCAGAATGAGCAATGCAATAACATGCCAGTTACTAGTAGTAACTTCGGGACCTCCGTTTCCGAGGAAAAAGAAGTGAAGCATAAGAATGAAACCAATTAGGTGACATTTGAACTTCCTGCCTGAGCAAATTTGGCCTGATTGCTAGAATCCTCAAGAAGAACACTGCAATTTCCACAGGATGCCCGACTCCTCGCGGCCGCATCGGATGCCCAAACGGGCTGCCCTCCGCGGGGTGTGCAGCTTGCAGCCCTGCGCCAGCTCGGGTCTCCTGGGCTG